TAAAGCTACCGGTAGGATAAATCAGCGGGGGAGATCGAGGTGACAATTTTACAAAGATTGTCATGATCAGCAGTCATAAAATACGTGTTGACATAAAAATGAGTGCCTAAAGAGAGGCCTATCCGGGCATAGCATGAAGTTCACCCGAAGGTAAATGAAAGAAAAAATAGGGAGAAGATAAAGAGCAGAAGGGGTTGAGACGGGTTGGAGACTGCCGTGACCAGGAGCACCACGGCTTCATGCTAAAAGCTAATAAAATTGGGGAACTCCAGTCCCTACGGCTGATCAGGATGTTCGGGTCGCAGCAGCTGCAATGGCAGCAGCTCCCTTGCCGCTGCCGTCTTCGGATAACCTCAAACGGAACTATAAATTTAAAAAAAGTTTTTTGCAAAAGCTACCCATTGGGAGACATCAAGAAAAGTGCAAACTCAGGAGTTTATACATATTCCGAGTCGACACACTGTTTATTAGTTTGGCAAGATATGAATACTGGATGATGATTGATCGCTTTTCATTCGTGATTGAAGTCGCATTCAGTGCATGTTTTATTGTAGGACAGGAACGATGGCGGAACACTATGTGGGCTCGTTTTGTTATTGGTTTTTTGTTATTTTTTCTGCTATTTATTTATTAGTGTTGTAAATAAAACATTCGTATTGCATATTTAATCTAAATACATTTGCTCGACGAGCTGGACAAGCTTGTTTGTCAACCCGCCGTCTGGTAAAAATCTTTGCTGAGCTGGTCCACCCTCTTAAATTATTTGTTTTCGTATGGGAAATATGTTCATCCCGTTTTGTGGGTCAGATTTCCCAACCAACGTTGCGTGCATAAAAGCCATAAGAGGAGTACTGCCAACAACTGTTCGTTCAGGTTTCCCAGATAGACAGGCAAGTCATGCCAATTCAGATGCGAAAGACATTTTTCTCACTTGCCAAATCTGCCTCAGGACGAAGCTGACGTGACTAGACACTGGGGCAGGAAAGTTGCAGTGGACGACACGATTTAACCAATCAGCTAAAAGCAGCAGGGCAACAGCGAATAAAGTGCAGGTAACAGACCCGACTTAGTATGCGGTCGTTCTATGTGAACTTCATATTGGCAACGCTTTTCCTCTGAATTGGAAAAGTGACGTGCGAAGACGAAGGCTTTAGTAAGGTGTCTAAGTACGCAAAAATATAAGATGCCGGCGTTAGTCGGAATAAGCATTACAGTCGTGGGTGTGAATACGGGACAAACGGGTGAACGTTAGCTGGGATACCAATCAGTATCTAACGTTCCGTACACCTGCCTTTATTAAACTGGAGCCAGACCTATACTCAAAATAGCTACAAGTGATTCCTCATACTTCACATCACGGATGAAAATTTCGCCGACACTTCCATCAAAAACAACCGTTTGGAAAATTATATGAGCCCCAGTATTAAAAAAATTAGTAGCCCTTACCTGAATTCCTTCTGGTTTGAGTTTGTCGATAATGTCAGTCATATATTCGCGGAATCTCGTATGGAATT